TGTGGTACAGTGAAACTAAACTGTTGAGAGCTTTGATAAAATAGCAGAGGACCCTCAGGTGGCTGAAATCACCACCAGTTTTTTTCAGGATGATTTTGGTTTCTGTTTCCATTTTTCAGAGTCCGTCCACTAGGAAGATATAGAAACATGGAATATGTAAAGTAAATGGCATCTTTAGTTAGAACCTGGTGGATTTTTCTCCACAAAGAGGAGTAGATAAATACAATTTGTTCACAGCTTTGTTCTCCCATTTAGCTCATCATTAAGAGAAATCTGTGGGGAAAAAAAGGATGTTCTGAGGTGTGGAATTTTTTTCGTATATAGTAAATATCTCCCAGATTATTAAGTGATAGAGAAGATTGAAAATGTCACTCAAAGGAGCACTTGTGCTTCTGCTGAAGGCAACAAAAAAATTTTCATTAACTGAAAGTCACCCAATTGTCTAAAAGTGGGAGTGCTGGGTCACTCCCAAAGATAGATGGATATGGAAGTTTTATGGAATGGAGGCAATGGTGAGTGTGTCTGTATAAAATTGAGGGTTTGGTTTCTAATAATTTTTGCAATCAAAATTATCCCTGCAACAGGATTACAATCTTATTAAAAACAGAGTTGGGGAAAGTTCTAACTATGCTCATCACTGTAGTCCTGAAAATGAAACATGAAATGGGATGAATGTCTAGATAAAATATATATTGAAAGATAACAAAGCAATGCTCTTTTTTTTCTGCAGTTATAACTCCTAATTTTAAGAAAAAAATATAAATATATCTGTTTTAAGTCAGGAAAAATGAGACACGGTTAAGGTTATTGAATGACTGATGTAATTTAGTGACTGTAACAGTATCTATAAAATTGATATCTCTGTGATAGTGAGTGAGAAAAGTTTAATATTTCAGAAGTATCATTTTGGATGTGTAATTCCAGCTGCTCCTCAGTGCTAAATAAGGTCCCTGTGAATTACTTTCTAAACAACTCTTGATAAATGATCAGTCACATCTTTTGCTGCTTTTTCTGCGTTAATACCCTAATTGTCTCGCATATGAGATGGTGAAATAAGAGCAGGCTTAAAACTCAGTTGAAATGTATGTATTTTGTCAGAAGTGGTTCTGCACAGGCTCTAATAGAGAGAGGATGATGAGGTGCCCTGGAGTGATTAGAAATGCTGCAAGAGGGAATTTAATTTGGAAGATTGAGAGGTGTGGTGATAACTCCTTTCTGCCTCCACACTTTTACCACTACTCAGTCTAACTGAGGACTTCTAAATACTTTATGAATTAAAGAAATTAACCCCAGCACTCCCAAACTGAAGAGACCCTCCAGACTATTTGTAGATGGTTCTAAACATCAACTCCTGCAGCCATGGAATATCTTGAGGCAGAACTGAAAATAGCAGAAGGTGCTGTTCTTTTCCAGGCAAATATATGGATTTGGAAGGAATAGACAATTTTCAGTTTTAATATAGCAATGCTTTAACACAGCAATAATTACCTGGCCACCTCCAGATCCCTGAAAAGAACTACAGTATTTTTCAAAAGTGATATATATGCAATGGCCAGATTCAATAAATCCCAAAAGACAATCCCCACACACAGCCTCTGTAAGTGTCCTCAACTGAGAGGAAGAAAACTCTTTAATTGTTCACTATTGTGTTGGAATTAAGCTTCATTTTCCCTCCTAATTCTCCCTAAACTAACTGAAATCATTATGTGACTAAACCCTCCCTCCCTAGGCCAGCACTTCTTGCCTCGAAGCCTTATTTAATCTCACCTGCAATCCAATTAAAAGCCTCTCAAAACTTCACACCTGCACTAATTGTGGATTCACATCAGTGCTTTGCAGTCATTAAGTCTATGAGTTAAAGTTTTTTATGAGTGCAACTAATCTGGTTTATCAACAAAGCACTGGAAGTTTTCCCTGCTAAAACAGGATAATCAGTGCTCAGGCTCTGAGATTTCTGCAGGGGTCAGGAAGGAATTATCTTGTCTTACCAAGCATTTCAAAATGCCTAATTATGTTTGTTCATAAGACTTGCTCCTGAAACGACTGAAATCCGAGGAAAAGCTTTTGAACTTTTAACTGTGAATGACTAACTTGGCTGAGGTGTTGATTTATGTCAGGAAGTCTTGTGAGTGTTTTATTCTTCAGTAAAGACCAAAAAGATACCTGGTTTGTGTTTTCAAAGTGGAACATCTAAGCTTCCATCTTCACATTGCTGGGAAGGTTGGGACCCTATATTTCCATGGATATATGTGTGCATGGATGCATATTCCCTGAGAGACACATGGTGTGGTCCCCCCCAGCTCACAGAACAGAGTCAAGGTGAATAAATATCTGTTATTACCAGGGTTGTTAATAACTGTGCACACAGTTGCCAAATTCCTGTTGTAGATCCCAAAGTTCCAGTATGCAAATACTTCAAATTGTCTATTTTGCTAAAGATTTTCTTTTTTAAATTAAATTTCTTCCCCCTCATCCAACAGCAATCACTCAGCAATGGAAAACCCACCTAGAGCCATAGATAAATGAGGCTAAACAAAAACAGAGCAAGGAGAAAGAGAGAAGTACTTGTAATTCAGCCAGGAAGCTTTTTTTTTTCCCTTATGGATTCTTGCTCCTAATCCACCCAGAGTAAATCAACTCGTTTGTGGCACGTACTCCAGCTGGAGCAGCCGTGGGGAACATTCCCAGCTGCACAGATCCCTTACACAGGTGCTGGGCTTTGGGCTCCCTGGCTGGCCAAGGGCAGGGAGTTTTTGGCAAATGCCCATAATTCCATGGACTGGAAGAGAAAAGGCAGGGAGAGAGTGGTCAGCTGGCACCAGCACTTTCCATACAGCCCCAAGCCCGAGCCAGACCTGCCTGTCTCATTCCTCGCCCCGTATTCTGAATCACTGTCAAATTCCTAAACTTATTTGGCAATTCAGTGGGAGGATTTTTGGCTGGAGTTACTGGAACGGAGACATTGGAATACTCAGTATCTCTGTGTATGCTACTAAACCCTTCAATTGTTCATTCTGGGACAGAAGGACTTGTCGGGAGTCTTCTCCTTTTTTAGTTTTTTCCCCTCCTTATTTTCTGCTCTCCCCTCAGTTTTTGGGTTTTATTCCATTACCCTCTTTGGTTTTTTTCTTTATTTTTTTTTTATTCCTCTCCCTGTTTTTTCATTTTCTTAATTCTCTCCCTCAGACATTTTAAACTATTTTTTTGCCCTTTCATTTTTTTTTACTCGTGATTTTTTTTCCCACCCCTTCCTTGTTTGTTTGTTTTTTTAATTCTTCCCTTTGGATCTTAACCACTTTTTCCCCTTATATTTATTTCCCCCATGCGTTTATTTTGTCGTGGTTTTTTTTTTTTTACACCCTTCTTGTTTTTTTTGGGGGGGGGGGTGTGTTTTTTGAGGTTTATCTTCCCCCTTATTAAATTTTCCCCCCCACCTGGAGGGGAAAGGAAGGACAAGAGGATTCTGTGGCCAGGCTGACACTTGGCAGTGAGAGCTCAGGCTGTTCTTCATGAGCTGGACACGCTGCAGGTGTAACTCAAGCACAGTGACGCTTGTTATGGCCCCTAAATAGCTGCTGCTGATGTTGCAGAATTGGTGCTGAGCCAGTAGAAATGATAAACCATAATTAAGCCCAAAACCACGACATTATGATGTTGATAGAGACAAATATACATCTCTCCTCTGTTAGTGCCACGTTCGGATCAATCCATGTGGGATCTGCACACGAAAATGGGCCCAATCACCTGCTGATGGTCTGTTGGGAAAGGCACATTAGAAGGGCCTCCATCAGGCTTTTTTTGTAAACTGAGGTAATTTTCTCTCCAGCACTCTAATTAAAGTAATAATTATATTTAAAAAAGGGTTAGATTCCTTATGTTGCAAAGATACTTTTCCAGCTGGGAGCTGACAGAGATGAGTTGTCTGTTCATGAAGATCTAAACTGGGCACGTCTTGTCTCTGTGTTTATAGAGCTCTAATCTCTGCTGTATAAATAACCTCTAGTGACCAAAAAAGGCCAAAAAGCAGACTTCCACTTCAACAGAAATTTGGCTTTATCAGTGTGATAAACTTGGAGCGACAGCCAAGGTTTAGGACAGCAAGGCCTGAGCACCCACCCCAAAAATCCAAGCTGTGTGTCAAATCTGCAGTTGGGAGGATGCCTGGAAACCTTGGGAAGGCCTTACTTGTGCCAGAGATGACTTTTGGTGCCTGAAGACCCCTGTTCAAGGAGAAAAAACTTCAATACTGGTTGGTCCAAGTTGACTGGCTCTAGACAAGGTACCGTGAACATCCCAACTCTCTCCAGCAGGAGAACAGATGGGATTTCATTCAAATAATTCTTAGCTCTACTGACAGCTTATCTAACCCAAATTCCTTCAGACAAAACATTTAAAATGAAAAAAAAAAAATTAAAAATGGTGGTTTTATTGAACAGTTTTCCTGGGAAATATCTGACTTCAGTCCCTTCTAAAATATGTGTGAATTGTCTGTCATTTAACCAGTGTGCTGGTATAGATTATAAACCTAACGACAATTGGGTTAATGCCAACATTTTTGTTGGCACTGCAGTTCATTTTATTATAACCTTTCAGCAACTCCGTGACTAAATTCAGAATCCTTGCTTTGGATATCAAGAATGGTAAGAAAGAATCGACATATTTTCTCTGGTTTCACAGAAAAACTTGTGGGTTTTGGCTCTTAAGAGTGAAAATAAAACATAATTGGCAACACCATATCTTCAGTGAGGCCTGAGTGAGACATCCCTCTAATATCCCTCTAATATTATCAATGACACAGGTTTTTCTTTTTCCTCTTTGTTACCTTAACCATTTACATCCAAGTACTTAAGGCTTTCCTTTTATGTATGTGTGAGACATGAATATATACATAATATAGTGATTTCATATGGATGATAAATGGAGATATCATTTCCCAGCATGTGAATAAATAAAAAGCTACCAACTCACACCGAGCAAATCAGTAAAACCGCATCTCAAAAAGTGGTTTAACCTTTGTTTTATTCAAAAAAAAGGATACCTTCCCAGCAAAATATTTTATGAACTGCTTCTCCACCTGTCCTTTCCAAAGGTTGTTTTACATCTTAATTGGCTCAGATATTTTTCTCCTCATTGATTAGGCTGATCAGACAGATGGATGGGGAAATATATCTAAGAAAAGGATATCAAAAGAAACAAATGATGCTTTTAAATGTGCTGCTGGTGCTGTCAGTGCTCATTGTGACAGATCAGCACCCAACAAATCTATGAAGTCCAGAAATAAAATGGGCAGTGCCAGAACTGCTCAGTGATGGACAGAAAGTTCATCCTCCTGTGTTTATTTTCAGCAGCTCATCACCAGCACCAAGAATATTCAATAAATACCCAATGCACTATAGACTGACACAGCTCTCCATGCCATTATTAATAGCAGTAACTATGCTAATATATGTAATGAGCTACTTATCTGTGCTATAAACATGTAGGGCTGCATTAAAAGCACTTTTTAATCCCAGGTAATTTTAAGGTTTGATCAGCTTGTTCAAAAATCAGATTTTTTTTTCGTTGTGGAGCTCTGACTGCAGCCTTTGAAATCCTGTGCTAAAAGGTAGTTTCCCATAATGTAGTCAGGAAATAATTGTGTTCTCTTGGAAATAATTGAACAGATGATAAGCCATCATCTCTTGCAGAACTTGGCCTTTCTGTATAAATAAATCCTCTCAGTGCAAGGATCCTGTGTGGTCAAACTGATTGCCAGAAAGAGAACACTCTCTGTTCATTATCTGGATCTCTTCACTCTACTCAATCCAAAGAGGCATTTTGCAAAAGCTTGCAATCACCAGAACAGAAAATAGATGCACTGAGATGTTATTGCATTTACAGAGAGCTCCAGGATAATTTATTTATGAGATGCCTTGTTGCTTTTACATACTACTTACGTTCATCAAATTTTTGGCATTTATTCTTCCCAGTTGGGCCAGTGAAAAGCAGCCAATTAAGGTGTTATTCAGGCATAAAAATTCCAGCCCCATCATCACAGAAGCAGAGAAGTAGGAAAGCGAATTATCCAAGGGTTTGTTTTTTTTTTTAGAAGCTTCTAATAGGTTCAGCTCAGGTAGGCAGAAAGGGGTCTGGGAGGTGGCAGGTAGAGCTCAGAGCTGGGTCCTTCCCACCAAGGGCACAACGTTCCTCTGCAGTGATGCCCTTCCCAACCCTCTCCAAGAGCAGTTTTTGGCAAGGTTCCACTCCTGGCTGAGCACGGCTGTCATGTCTGGTTCTTGATGAACCATTTGGGTGAAGTATTTGGACAATTTTCTTCCTGTGATCCGTGGGGATGTTCCTGTGTAGGGCCAGGGGTTGGACTTGATCCTTGTGGGTTCTTGTGGGTCCCTTTGAGCTCAGCACGTTCTGTGATTCTCTGAACCTGCCACCACCTGTTCTGCAAGTGCAGAGACTTGTCTGTCGTGTTCCACGGGGCTGTCCCTCCACGAGGAGGCAACTCAGTGGACCAAAAATGTCATGATTGGAGCTTATCTCCACAGGAGAGACTTTGACCAGGTGAAGTCAGCGGGTGCCTGAGCAAGGAAAAGCTGTGAGTTCATCACTTGTGAGTCTGTAGTTCCTCACTCCTTGAAAAGCGAGGATGGGGGAAGCAGAGGTGTTTGGTTTTCTGCCTTGTTTCACTCCAGCACTCGCTGATGATTTAGGCTTTCAATACATAGTTTGAATCCTCTCCCACCGTGGCTTTCTCCTACAAATTTGGCTGTGAAGGAAGTGATTCACGCTCTAATGGCAGCCCTAAAACTTTTTTGTCCAACAAACAAATATCATTTTGTGTGTCCAGCAAAGTTATTGTACCTTTATGTTTATGGCAATTCAGTTATGTCTGAAAGAAGATTTAAGTGTGGTGGTGTTTCAGTTAAAGATCAAACTCAGCTGTGTTTTGCATGGTAACACTCTAAACCACTGCTATTTCTATTAAAAAAAAAATCCATTTTCCTCTAACAGATTACATTGTTTCTTTGAAGTGTGAATCTAAGTAGCTAATATTTATAATAACATGTACATCATTAATCTTCAGACTTTATAGTCCTATTTAACCCAGTGAAGCTTCAAAGGGTACAGATGCCATACACTGTTTATTGAGATAGGAGGTAAAATCTAAATGAAAGATCTGAGGAATCAAAATTATATCTGTAACATTGGTTTTTAATCTGCAGAACACATTTAATTCCAGACGTGGTACAAAGCTACCTGGATATTTGCCTGATGAACAGTTCTATGGACACACTGGAAAGGGTAAACATATTAATTAGAGCTTGCACAGCTCCTTCTTGCTGGTGTAATCATTAAATTGATTTTTCCAGTCTGACATGTAATTGTTCCAGAGATGGAATCCTGCTTTCCACTCTTGTTCTGCTTCATCAATATTTCCTGTAAAACATGAAATGGGTTACATTAATCTAAATTTGAATCTCTTTGTATGCTAATTGAAAAATAATTTTGATTATCAATGTCATCTGCTCCAAATACATTATAGGCTGGTCCTTTGCTTGTTTTCTTAAACCTGGAATGACTGAAAATTCAGTGATTAATGCTTTGTCTTTACTTCAGGAAGAAAGAACTGCAAAGATATCATTCTGGAACATTGCAGGGCAATAAATATACTTATTTATGGGCTTGTGGCTTTTGGATAGTACTTCTGTCCATCAAATTCATCATTTTAAACCCACTCTTTTTTATTTTTTTAGTCCTCAAAATATTCCTTTGGTTCAATATACTCTGCAGTGAGAACTCCATACCCTAAAGACTACAATATGTAAAATGAGATAGATGCTTGTAAAGATAGAATGAAGTCACAGCTTTATTCCAGGCAATTGCCATTAGTTTGGATGGAATCTAATGGATGGCCAGGATTTTACCCTCCCCTGGAATAAATCCCTGAGTTAAAAGCAAAAAGGGCCCAGGTTTGGAGAAGGAACTGTGAAATGTGAACTATGTCAACATGAAACCATCTTCTCTTTCCTGTTTCATCCCAGCCTATAAAGCATTTACTGACTAATCCCGTGTCCCAAGGCAATATTTATTGCTAAATTTGTTATGAGCATCAGAACAGAGGGTGAGGATGAGAAGAGTAATAAAAATACATCATTTCACAAGGTTCTCAGAGTGTTTTACAGACCAGGATCACTCTCTCCAGCCCCAAAAAGTAATTAACCCTCCAGGGAAATGAAGTGACCTCTCAGGAACAGCCCATACAACAAGGATATCAAAGGTAACACATGAGGGCTGTGTCACACCCTGGGGCTCATTAGTTTGTAGCAGTTGTGGACTTTAGGGAAAAGTTTATAAACCACTGATGATCTCTGAATGCTTTATTCATTCTGGACCTGACTATCTGGGTGTCCCTGTTGCCATAGCTGGCTTCCAAAAAAACTTGGTAATTGTGTTCTGGAGAGAACAGTTCCATGGTTTCTTTATGCTCTTCTGACTTTATGTTCTTCTGCTGCAGTGGAGCACCAGCCCTTTCCCTCCATAAATACACCCTTTCCCCCTTTTTTATGATCTACCAGCACTGTAAGTGTAGCTGGTGATGGGAAAATGAAATACTTTTGTGTTTTACACATCAGTAGAGAAAATATTCAGGAAAGAGAGTTAACTGAATCAGAGATTTAGTCTGGAGAAGCATCCAGTAATTTGGTTGCTTATCTGCAGTTTAGCTCAACATTTCCAAACCTTTTTGGTCTGGAAATCCAGATGGCAATTTAATGAGAGTTTGAAATGAGATTTACATTGCTTCTTGGTTTTAGTGAGACCAGAAATAAAACCAAGAGACTTTTTCTTGGGAAAGTTCTGTGTTTCTATGTGGTTCAAAAGGGAAAGTGTGGAGAACAACTATGGGAAAAAATCGTTAAAAAATTAACCACACTCTTCTCCCTCAGTTCAAAGTCGTAAATAAGCTTGGTTATATCAGAGATCAAAGAAAAATTCAGATATTTTTTAATTTTTTTTTTCTTCAGGCTACAGTTGCCATTAACTCAGAGAGAATTTGCAAGTGCTGGTAACAATAAAACCTCATTTTGGTTGCTAAGCCATGACTCAGAACTATGGGGAGAAGACACACACATCATTGTGCTTTCCTGATTCTAAGAACTCTCCTTTAAACATTTTTTAATTTAAAGATGTAGGCAGGGTCTCAGGTAAAGCCAAATTTTCCATGTTAAGTCAAATGGATTGGTAATTTAGTGTATGAAGCTGTGTTAATATTATTTGGAGAAAAATACCTAAATCATATTTCTTATCTTATTCTTGATTTTGGGTATCCAGTTTTATTTATCCAGGTAAAGCCTCAACTTATGAATTTAAAAAAGACCAGTTCCTTCTTTAATTATTCAGGTGTAGATGTGCTTGAAATCTGCCCAGACTTTAGAAACTGGAATATCTCTACCATAGACATATCTTGAATTAAAAGTCACTGTTGTAGGGTATAAATTATGGGGTATTTCTGTGCTTCTTAAAGATTATGGTGAAGAAAGGAGGCAGCTAGAGAAAGCAGGCACCAAAAAATTGAGAGTAGCCACCATTATGAATCTAAAAGACAAAAGGGGAAGGAAAACACTGAAATAAGAACTTGGATTCCAATTCGTTTGCTTTTTTTTTTTTTTTTTTTTTTTTTTTTTTTTTTTTTTTTTTTTTTTTTTTTTTTCCCAGTGATAAGATCCAAATTGAAGTCACAAGTCAATGCATCCCATTATCACCAACATCATCAATCTCTTTGAGGCAACCACCCATGACTTAGATGAGCTGACAGCTGGGAGGCAGAGCAGGAAAAGATTAGAGGATTCGAGCTGACCCATAATTACAGCTCAGAGCTCTGGGTGACTGCTCTGGGCTGAACTGTCAGGGGGGCCACTAACAACCCACAGGGGGGATTCTGCTCCCTGCAGTCATTTAGGCCACCCAAACTTTGGAGTAATTCTCGTTAGCCCAACGCAAAGCTCAGCGAAGCCAACAAGGAGAAAAGGGGAGATTCTCCAGGCAATGAGTCAGAGCTCTGAAAGGTCCCAGTCATAGAATCATAGAATCAGCTGGGTTGGAAGGGACCTCCAAGATCATCAAGTCCAACCCTTGATCCAACCCCGCTGTGGTTCCCAGCCCATGGCACTGATGCCACATCCAGTCTGTCCTTAAACACCTCCAGGGATGGAGAATCCACCACTTCCCTGGGCAGCCCATTCCAATGGCTGAGCACCCTCTCTGCAAAGAAATTCTTCCTAATATCCAACCTAAACCTCCCCTGGCACAGCTGAAGACCCAGCCCTCTTGTCTTGCTGATGGTTGCCTGGGAGAAGAGACCAACCCCCCCCGGCTCCCCCCTCCTGTCAGGGAGTTGCAGAGAGTGAGGAGGTCTCCCCTGAGCCTCCTCTTCTCCAGGCTGAGCCCCCCCAGCTCCCTCAGCCTCTCCTCACAGCACTTGTGCTCCAGTCCCTTCCCCAGCCTCGTTGCTCTCCTCTGGCCCTGCTCCAGCCCCTCCATGTCCTTCCTGAGCTGAGGGCCCAGAACTGGACACAGCACTCCAGGGGTGGCCTCACCAGTGCTGAGTCCAGGGCAAGAATCACTTCCTTGGACCTGTTGGCCACACTGTTCCTGATAATCCAAGGGTTCTTGGATTCCTCAGCAGTGCAGACTCTGCATTTCCTATTCTTCCATGCAGCCTTTTCATGGCATTGCAGCAAAGTGACATTTATCACCACACCGTCCTTTGAGCTGCTGGATGTGCCAATAAAGTGCTAATCTTCAATGTATTTTTGTGCATTAACATTAAGATTGGGACACAGGCATGTAGCTGTTATGATATAATAGAATTAATAAGGGATGACAAGCTAGGATTAATTTTTGTGTCCTCAAGAGCTCATAATTAAAGGTACTTTAAAACTTCCTGATTCATTAGTGTGATAAATGCTGCAGGTTTGTGCTGTAGATTTTCATGGTGAGAGTTTCACAAACGTCCAGGAAGGAGAAAACAAAATCTATATTCTAGGATCTATATTCTAGTATCTCTATTCAGTGTTCTTGTGACCCTGCCTTGGGACTGGAGGATCTCCAGAGGCCCCTTTCCAACCCCCTGTGATTCTCTGATTCTTTAAATCACACTCTCTGAACATCAAAACTTTATTAACCCCAACCATATATTCATTTTCACATGTATGTTTAAGAACTTCAGATTTCTTTCTTTATTGTTTTTCTTCTTCCAAACATCAGTAGAGCTCTCTGGGAGAGGAATTATTGTAAAGGCTGGGATCTTTCCAATGACATGGGATGGAAGGTACTGGAGTCAGAAAGAAATCAGATTGTTAAGGTACAGAAACACACTGCCCATAGGTGCAAAGAGTAAGTTTTACTCTGTCAATAGGTGCTGTAGTATTGGTGAGGTGACTTCTGACTAGTTCACAATTCTGTGGAAATTTAAAACCAGTTGTGAGGATGAATGTTCTATTTAGCCAAATTTTCAATATTCTTACTCCCCTGAGTGTTTAGCTCTGCAGAATCCAAACACTGCTTGGAGGATCACAGCAAACACAATTATTTTTGTTACTCACTGGCCAAGAGGTTGAAATTTCTCTGCCTCCACATCTGAAATCTTTTTAGGGTGGTTTTAAAACTTAATGTATTTATGGCACCTACTTTGATTTCTCTATAGATGATACATGATGCAGTAATATATATAAAAAAAATAGAAAAATATGTATTAGGCACACTAAAATAGTAATGGACCAGTAATGGAAAGCTTGGCTGCCTGCAGCTTTCTATAATCAAGAGGAAGCAGGCATATATAAATAACTAGGGCTCTAGATGCATTAAAGATTGTGTTGAGGAGGTAGAGACTAACATAGATGCTTTTATAATTAACATATGATTGCTCTAAAAGCTACTTAAAAGTCACTTAGTGTTTACTGTCCCTCCAGTGTGTTTCTTGTAGAACCAGTCACCAGCAAAACTTCTGGGGCTCGTCCCAGTGCTCTCACCCTCCAATGGAACATTAAATCTGAGTGCTCCCAGCTTGGCTGGGGCTGAGGGGGATGGAGGGTGTGCCCAGGGCCTTCAAAATGGGGTTAAAATCCCGGTGGAAATTGTGTCTACTTGGAATTTAGAGCTCATGTGAGGCAGGTCTAGGGCCAGTTTACTTATCTAGTGATTGTTACCAAGTGGGGCACAAAACTGAGAGCTCTGACCCAATGATAGGTTTGAGTGTTGAAACTCAAGGAGAAGACATTGAGAAATCTTCCAAAATCATACAAAGTTCTCTAGAGAGATCAAGGCCATGTTTTATATGTGGCTGTTACTCTTGTGTTACTGTGTGAGGTTTAATCTTTCCTTATTAATTTTTCTAACCCGTAACCGTGATTTTTTTTTTTAATGTATCTGATTCAGTTGCTTGAGGAAAATGTAAATTATTTAAACCTAAAGATGGCAGGGGCTAAATATTTTCCTCTCTCATATATTTTAACTGCCTCGAGGAACTTGTCTTGCCCAGCCTGTGATGGGAACAGGCTTGTTCAGGTGCAGGACTTGTTTGGAGCTGGTCATTAAAAGCTGAAAAGATCTCAAGGGGTGGCAAGGCTTGTGCTTGGATGGGTCAGGAACTAAACAAGTGGCTACCAAGCACATCCTGATCACTTTACACTGAGAAATCATTGCAATTTCTGTAAAATAAGTTGCTTTTGTTGTCCTCTTTGGGTTCTGCCTGATGGAATTTTACCTACCTGAACCCCACTTGAACTTGTAATAATGATAACATAAAATCTCCTTACTTCTTCTTCTCTGTTGTCTTACATCACCTCGTGTTAAAGCAACCTTTATCTAAGACTATTGCAATGGAAGGAGTAATAGAAAAGAGACACCCTCAGAAAATGAGAAAATACATATATTTATGGGATTCACTGTCCTTTGGGCATAAGAGGAGAAAAGAAATGCAAAACAATATTTCAGTGAGGAGAATTATTGCAATATAAAGTATTATATCATGGTCTTAAGCAGAATTATAAAGAGATTTTTTTTTTGTCAGGATGCTATAACGTTGTATAGGGATCATAATGGAAATACTCTGTTTTTATACTTACAGTATTTCAAGGACTGCCAGATGTAGACACATGACAAAACAGTGCTACCTCAACAACATTCCTGTCTCAGCTCTACGTTAGGATCCAGACACGATGATTCTTTTCATTTTTCCTGAGAATATTCTCATGAATTTCTTGTAATTGGATGCTGTAAATTTATGTTGTAAATCACTGATTATGGCCAAGTGATGTGTTTCTGTCTCCTGGCAGATCCTGGGTGTTGCTCTGTCATCCCTCCCACCACGGGACCGTGCAAAGCCACTCTGGGGTTGGTCTCTGCCCGGGGATGTTCTCCCTCCTGCTCCCCCCCAGAGCACTTGGTTGTGCTCAGCCCATTTGTAGGATACACATTTTTCCACAGGGATTCCCAGCCAGGTTCAAAAAAACACGAAAAACAGTTCAGTTCTCCTGGCTCAGCACAAATGACTTGTCAGAGTCTTTGAAACCTCCCCAAAATCCATCTGTAATTTGGTACACTGTGATTTTAAAATCACAGAGTGAGGCTCATAAATTATTCATTTTACCTACTGATTTTGCTTCTCCTGATTTAATTGAAAAACATCTGTTGAACTGAGAGGGGATAAAAGTTGAGCCATAATACAGTCATAGACTCAAATGAGGAAGGAATAAATTATTTCAGAAGGAATCATCTGTGCACCGTGACAGTTTACATATTTTTAAGACTTCGCATATTTTTAAGACTAGCACTCAAACTGAGCCTTACAGGAAGATTTTAAATTACTAATTAACATTTTAAACGTGTATCTTATTTCTGAAACGAGACTTTCCCCCAGTCAAACTGCAGAATGTGGTTCCAGAGCTGCAAAATCACTTTATAAAATCAATTCCTTTTTGAAATCCAAAGCACAGAGGCTTGGTCTGTTTGCTGGGCTTTGTGAAAATGGTGATGTTTGCCTGCTAACAGTTGAGTTCTCCCTGTTCAACTGGACTTAGAGTTTCACACAGCTCCTTATACTTTTCCAAGTAGTGAAATCTCAAACCCCCATTTTACACAGGGTCAGGTACAAATCAGTTGTTTAGTTTAGGCAGATCTTGCAGTGTCTGTTTGTCATCAATGGCTGACACTCCAGAAATAAAACACGAGGCTCTCACGTGAGATGGAAACCAGAATCCCCTCTTGGCAGCAGCAACACACTTAATATCCTCTGTGGATTAGCTGCATAATAATAGAATCCCATAAATAATAGATAATATAATCCAAATATAACAACCTTAGACACAAGAAGTTTATACAGAACATCTAAAGCTTCCAAAAGTCCCTCCTTAAACACTGTTTTTCCTGCCTTCTCCAGCATCCAGGAACCCAGAGCCTGGCAGCACCAAGGCTCTTCCCTTGAGAACAGGGATTTGCAGCACTTTTAATGCCTCACATTGTGGCTGCATCTGCATTTTGGGCCAGAGAAACTCCACATCACAAAGTCCTGGGCCTTGGTTTGTCCCCAGTTTTTGTCCTAACACCAAACAGGGTGGTGACTTCTGGAGAGAAGCACAGGGTACATCCTGGGATCCTCATTATGGACAGTTTTATCCAATACCTGGACACCTCAGCTACAAATAACACAAAGATTTGAACTCAAGCATCACACCAATATCCTTGCATAAAAGTTTCCCATAAAAGCATGCATAAAAGATTTTTTTACCTGTCATTTCCAGGACTTTGGGGAAAAAATATTTCCAGAATCGACACTGCTGAGCACGGAGTTTTGTCAGGATCTCTGGAGTGCTGGTGTTTAGTGTCAAATATTTCTGTTCATTGCTGGTGAAGGCTGGCCATCTTATTCCATTAATCAGGGTCCCATTAGGAGCCCTAAATGAGAAAAGAAACACTTCATTTGGAATGAGAAATCACCTCAGCACACCAGTGCAGCATTATTTGGTCTTACTTAACAGTTATTTCAGTTTAAGTGTGTTAGTTTGGATTTACTGGTAAATCCTTTTGTAAGTAACAGGGGGGAAAAGGAAGGTAAATGTGATTTAGTCTCATTTGAAAAAAAATATATTTATATTCCCCTTTTTAGGTGTTCTGGGTTCATCTAAGGGAAAAAGTTAATAAATGACCATATACAAACTACTTGATGAATTTGGAAATTCTCACAGAAGATATAAATTTTTGTGGATTACTCAAGAACAAGCCAAGCCACAAGTCTGGGAGGTTGAGTGGTTTATGATTCAATTTGAAGGTTGCTGATCCCTTTAAATACATTGGACTAAATAACTGGGATAAACATGCAAGTAAAGCCACAAATAATGTCCAAACTTGAAGAGAAAACAATTATCCCTCATTAAGCAGAACTGTTCCTCCTTGAATTATGTTGAGCCCTGTTAGTAGAGTGACAAATGGGAACAATTTGAAATCTTCTGGAAATTGGGAAGAGGTACAGAGTGCTTGACCCTCTATAAAACAAGCTCTGCATGTTAAAGGATCACAGCTGTTGGTGCTAAAATAGTTTGATAAATATTTATCAAACAACAGAATTCATGAAGTTCTAGGGCCAGGCATCCAGTTTTTTACCTCCAAAAAAGACAGTACTAAATGAGGAAAAAAAATGGTTTAAATATGTAGAACAACAAGAGTTTTGCATTAAGGAACAAATGAGACAGAACACGATTTTCAGAAAAAGTAGATAAGTACTTCAAACAGTCACAAATCACCATTAGCTCAGAAGAGGTTAGGAATAGAAACTAAACATCTTATTTCAGTGTAAGCAGAAGGAGTCATTCTCTTTTCTAGAAGCCGATATTGAAGAACCTGGGATTTAGGGCAGAACAACAGTAACTGATGATTCTTGGTGGGATCAATTAAGAACATTATTAGCTAAGTTAACTTGGTTCTCTCTGCTTTATTTTTCACCAGAAGGCAGCAGGCAAAGGGAAGTCCAGGGTGTGTGGAGCCCATTTTTGGTTTCTGCTTGCCAAAGGTGGAAATTGAGGTGCCAGGTGCAGGTGGGAGCAGTCAAAGCACAAGATGCAGCTGCTGAAGTAATATCAACATCTCCCAGTTAACTCAGAATTAACCAAGTTTTCAGACCAGGTTTTAGTATTCTGGAGTCTTTGGCACTGGCTGCTTAGAGAAACTATGTTGGGGTAAGAGCCTCAGCGTGTCATTTCCTCAATTGCTCCCTTCTTTATGAATTTTTCGTGACTAATTCAGCTCTGATTAACCTGCAGCACCTTTTTAAGCTGCACATTTATTTGTGGCTCACGAGAATGATGACTTAAGCAGAGCTGACTTGCACTTCAGTTCAAGATCAGAACACTAATGGTGCTGTCAGTATTCATTTAACAGCTTTTATGCTATGAAATAAATCATGACATCCCACATTATAATTTCCAGGTGTGTGGGGGGATTACACAATGGCTCAATGGCTACAGATGTATTTTACTAAAAAGTGATTGAAAGAACTGTCAGATGAACACAGCACTTTGAAATCCATGAACCTGCTGATTATGCCATTCCCTCTGCATTTCCAGGAAGTTTATGACTCAAAGAAATGTCCAGTAATTTCCTTCTTAGCTTCATTATTGAAAATTTCCCAAGTTAAAAAGCAGCTCCCAGTTAGAGCAAAAATGGAGATCACAGGAGCATAATTTTGAACGGGGAAGAACAAGTTATGATTATAACCTCATTGTTCCCTCACAATTGCTTTCATTCCTTCTTGCTAATAACTTCATGATGAGAATTGCAGTGCCCAGAATAGGCTATAAAATTCCCTGTTCTTTGCACCAAATTCTGAGTTTAATAATATTCATATAGAAAAGGAAAAAGTATGGTGAGAATATCCTTAGTGAGCAGACAGGAATCCAAAACACTGCACAAACTTCTGTCCATCGGTGTTTGGATGGACAATCTTTGCTGTTACATCACAGGAACTTGTTTGATTTCCATGGAAATCTCCATCTTATCATCTTTATCAGTTCCTCAGACCTCTGCTTTTTCATCTTCTGGTACTCCTCAGCCATCTCTGCTTTACTACCTTCCAGTTTTGCCCTCTCTGTGCTGACACTGGGGCCTGAAGGTGTGTCCTGACAGTGTTTGGATCATGCAGCTTCAGGGAGAACTTTTATCTTCTGCATCTGCCTTGTCAAATCATCCTTCTTGGACCTCTCTCCAGATCTACAAGCTCTAGGCAGGGAAAACCTTCATTTTGTTTGGAGAAAATCATCAAATTGTTTGGGTTGGAAGGGACCTTTGAAGGTCATTTAGCCCAACCCCCTGCAATGAGCAGGGATATCTTCAACTAGACCAGGAATATGAGCTTCACTCAATATTTTAGAAAGAAACTGGTTCCTTTTCTGCACAGTTTTTCCTGTTTACAGGAGCAAGTCTTAAGGCAATTAAGAAACACAATTATTTGAATTGCTCCCAGAGAAGAAATGCAAGAGATAGAGAGAAAAAAAAAAAGACCAAAACAAACTCAAACCACCTGTGTTTAAATTCTGATGTGAACAGAATTTGTCTCACTATTTCAGATATTTTTTTCCTTTGCATATGCCCTGAAGTTATAGCTGGACTCTCTCTACTCTGATAGTGATACAGCAGCTCATTTACAGTTAATTATTTTGTCTTTAGGGTAGCCAAACTTATTTTCTCCTTAACTGGAAAACCAGAGTATCTTTGTGGGCTCAGTCTCCAGTAAAGCTGCTCTCGTGTTCTACCTTCAAACTCACGTGTGCTGTTATGGAAATTCATGAGCATTATTTAATCTTGTGCCCAGTGGAAGTTGCTTGGCTGTACTTGTTGTTACAAAGATCAGGTTCATCCCCCTTTGAGTATTTATGTTCACAACTGTCAATAACATTTAATTTTCAAGATTAATTTATAGTAAGTATATTAAATTTGACATAGAAGTGAAAAGGGTTTTATAGGAGCTTATTCACTGATCACTTCTCTGCATTTAATGTTCGTCTTCAGCAACTTCAGAAGGAGAAAGTTAATTTCATTCAAATGGAAAATGCAACATGAACACAGTTCTGTTAATCATAATAAACATACATACATTACCATTCTCATTAATGTGATCAATATAGCCTGAAATACAACCCTAGCTCACTGCATATTTATTTATATTCAGATAGCATTCCTTTTACAGATGGTCTATCACACAGATTTACAAAAATACGTAATTCATCATCTGACTTTTTTTTGGTAAAAATTCATGTTATAAAGTACTTGGGAAATATTCACTTTATTTTGTGAGGGAGCTCTGAATAGCAGAGCGAGAATTCATAGAGTGCATTCCATCATTTAAAAGAGGTTGTTCTTTTGTACTTTTAACTTATATTTTGATATAGTCCACAAAGAAAAATTTTCTCTGCTAACTCTCCTGAAAAAGTTTTTAGGCTGTTTTAGGATGAGTGTTGTAAACCAAGTGTAGCACATGCTATCTCAGATGCTCCCAAGCTTTCACCATACTCCTCTTTAGCTGCTCTATTTGTGAACAGAACTGATTAACATGTTGTGAATTTCCCCAGAGCACAAGAAAACCAACCTGCCCATCATTTTAGCTGCTGGGTTAGACCAACCCAAACCCACCAACAAATTCAGAAGCTGGAACACACTTTTACCTCCAGTCCCTGGTGCAGCCCCTTGCTCCAGCCTGACAAATATTTGCTCTGCCTGGCTGGAGCTGTTGGTGGAGGGATTGCTCCCTGTGAAGCCTCATGCACTAATTTCACCTGGAAATCAAATGCAGACCTGCCCCTTCCTAAATGTGACTGTTTTGGCTTCAGCCTGGTTGGAACTGCTGATGCTTATTTTCAACTTGGCCCTTTTTCTTTTAACCAGCTGATTTTAAAGGAAGGAGAGAGCGAATGTGAATCATTTTTATGACCTTTTGTGATTCCTTGTAGCTGTCGGGCAGCGCTGGCAATCAGCAGGTTTTTATGGGATGGTGTTTTATGGTGTGTTACCGTGAGCACCACACAACTGGGAGGGGGAATGGCCTTGGAGCTGCAACAGCAGCAGTAACCCCATCTCTTGCAGGATTTCTGCAGCTGCATTACAACACCTCTAAGAATGATGGAAACAGTCAGCTGGGCATCAAACAAGAAGCACGCTGGAAATGTTTCACCCCAAAGGAAGCTCTGGGAGCAAGGGGTGTTTCTGCACGTTTCTGCACCATATAGACACACCTATATATGTCTGCACCATCCCTGAAGGGATTTAAAAGACATGTAGATGTGGCTCTTGGGGACACTGGCAGTGCTGGGGTAATGATGGTGATCTCAAAGGTCTAAACTGAATAGATGAACCTCTTTTTCTTTTTCTTTTTCTTTTTCTTTTTCTTTTTCTTTTTCTTTTTCTTTTTCTTTTTCTTTTTCTTTTTCTTTTTCTTTTTCTTTTTCTTTTTCTTTTTCTTTTTTTTTTCTTTTTCTTTCTTTTTCTTTTTCTTTTCTTTTTTTCCTTTTCTTTTCTTTTCTTTTCTTTTCTTTTCTTTTCTTTTCTTTTCTTTTCTTTTCTTTTCTTTTCTTTTCTTTTCTTTTCTTTTTTCTTTTCTTTTCTTTTCTTTTCTTTTCTTTGTTTGTTTGTTTGTTTTTGTTTGGTTGGGTTTTTTATTTGTTTGTTTTTCCCCACACACAGTCTGGAAGAAAACATTTTGTTACTTTCCCTTCTATTCCCCATGGAGAGAAGGACCCTCCTAACTACCAGGAATGCTGATGAGGAGCACCAGGCTGTGCTGAGGGCTGGGAGGTGTTTTTGGCATTAGCCAGGCAAACTTATCCAGATGTATCACATAATTTCTAAAGGCTATGATGTGTAAAATTTATACCTGTGTTCACCTTCCCAATGCAACACAACAACTGCCA